GCAACGGCCTTGGAGATTTTGCATTGATGGACTCTATCGACTCTATGGAACCGGACTTGAATCAGAGGACGAGGAGATATCAGAGCACCACCACCTGATCCGTACCGGTCGCGAGAGCTCTGCGTCGAAAGCAGCAAGCATCTCGGCTCTGGAACAGTTCAAGACCTCTGCTATTGACAGTACAGTCTCTGCCTTCTTCTGTCTCTCTGATTCCCAAAGTTTGAATTTTTAATTATCTATTCGACGTTTTGATTCATTTTTTACCTAAAAGCATTCTTCTTTGAGCTTGTTCTCTCTCTTTTGCTTCCAAAAGTTTGAATTTTTAATCAGTTATTCCACGTTTTGATTTATGTTTGTCATCTTGGAGCTTGTTCTGTCTTTTTGTTTCTAAAAATTGGAACTTTTAATGATCTCCCTATTGATATTGATATTCAGAGGTTGAGATGTCGTGTGCTGTACCGTGGTCTACGCTTCTCTCCTGCTATTGAATGCCTTGGACAGGTTTGTAGTAGAATTTGATGTGTTGATTAAGAATTAGGAAGCTATTTGGGGGAAAAAGAGTTCCTTAGAGTAACTTTATATCACTTAATGGAGGAGGGAGAGTTTGTGGAATTTGATGTGTTGATTAAGAATGTTTCCCTTAAAATAAAGAGTTCCATGTTGATTTTTTTTTTAAATCTTTTTTTTTTGTTACAGCCTTCACTTCCAGCTAAAGACACAAGCTGTGAATCGGTGGTGACGAGTGGTCAACACCAGTTAGCATCACAGAATCCACCAAGAGATGCTAGTCCAAGATTAATATTTGCAATTTTTGGTTTTGCAGACTTTTGTCCATTGCAGAAGAAACTTTAGTCCGGTTCTGGCAAGAGGTGCTTCTCTCGCGAGATGGCAAATTCAGCTGGAGCTCCAAAATTTATCATTCAAGGTATCAACAGCTGCTGCAAATGGCATCTGTAATAGACTGGGTTGTGCCTTCATGAACATGGCGAAGGCTGGTCCAAGGTATAAAGAAGCTGAAATCTCTTCTAGTCTTTGGAAAACAGAGCAACACAATTATGGTCCCTTCCAATGGCTGGTTAGTTTTGCTTTCAATACCATTCTCTCATAAACAACTTGCAGAAGTTTTTGTCTCTTCATGTTTAAAGTGTTATGACTTTGATTGATCTGCAGGAGAATTAGCCAAAGAACTCGCCTCCAAAACCATGGGCATGCTGAGAAGGACGAATCTTGACGGTTTTTTCATTATTTTGTTTCAGGCCTGTGGCGTTTCTTAGATGAAGTTTGTATTTATACTTTACAGAAAAGTGAGTTGAAGGTGAAGGACTGTTCTTTTGCATATGGAGGAATCAACAATCCATGAGCTAAGCAATATCTTCACACAACTAGCTTCCCTGGTTTCTCAGCAAGGGGAGATCACTATCAGGTTCGTCAACACCAAACTATGTGTACGAATGATTGAACATTTGAGGGAAAAAAGTAATAGTGTGTTGTTGAAAATTGGTTATGTTTCATGTTATATTTTCTTATAGGAATGTTCATTTGAGGGAAAAGAAGTAATAGATAAAGTTTTAAACTTACATGTTTTACAAATTTTATAAATTTTAATTTCTAAGATTCAATTAAAAAAAAAATCTAAGGATTCCATAACGGATAACACCATTGGACATACATTTATGATAAGAGTTCTTAACTATTCAGAAAAATAATAATAATAATATTTTAGTCTTAAGGACTCCAATGGTGGGTAACACCATTGGAGTTGCTCTAACAAACTTAACTGTGGGCAACAGACTTTGTAGACCACTAGGTCATTGTTGGAGAAATTGAGAAATTTCATTTGTACTTTATTTTGTACCCCTTTTTTCTTCTCAAGAAGACATATATATGCATGGCTTTAAATCATGAAGACGACAGAACAGCTCCATATTGTAGGTATGTAATTGGCCCTTTCGGTCTTACACTCTTACTCAGACTGTTTGTTTACTTTTGCCATCCATACGTGGTTTCACTTCTTTTTTTTTTTTCTTTTTTTTGACTTTGTAGACTTGATTGTTCTCATTTATTTCCCTCCTTCCCGTTATATTTCAATGTTTTTGGTAGAAAAGTATAATGTTCCTTTCTAGATCAATTTCAGAGATCAATTTTTGGGTATATTGATGCCACTATCGATCGCCGACCGGTAATCGATATTCTTTAACTTTACCGATCGCGCGTATGCGGAAATCCACTTTAATTGTCTTTCTAAATTAAATTTGTTCGTTTCAAACTTGTAACAATAGTGTAAAAACGATTAAAACTTTGCTTAATTCAATATTTTAAGTTTTTAAGAAAGAAATACTCATAAATATAGAATGCCCAGGTGTTTACTTGTACCGCTACAACTCATCATTTTACGGTAACTTTAACAATCAATCTATGCATACAAACGGTGAGAATAAGCATATACTCCTAATTAGTAAAAGTTTAAAGTATCATTATAAATTTATTTAAGACACGCAATTTTTGAAAACATCATTTTCTATTTGAATTCTTACACAATTTTCCTCGGTGTATAAGACGGTGTAACCGTGAAAAAACTGTGGTTTAGTAGTTAGATAAAATTTGTGACAAAAAAAAAAATAGTAGTTAGATAAAACATTGTTTCTTCTTTTTTTTGGTGAAAGGTCTTTGTTTCTTTTGTTAAATGGCAAGTAAAATCAAGTTTGGAAAATTATTGATTACGGAAAACAAATTCACGAGTAAATTAAACAGGCGGGTGTTACTTACTAGTCAAACTCTAAGTTTTGGTAGTAAAAACTCATTTTGAAAAAGATGAAACAGGTGGCGTTTGATATTCAGTCCACATTTGATCGAATATAGTTAAATGAATTTCCCTTAGTGGTGATGATGGTCCACATACATTAATTGTAGACTCCACCAAATAAATCTTTGAAATAAAAAATAAAGTTTCACACAAAATCTCTCAATAAATAGAGCTCGAGGCGTGTGTCCTCCACACTTCATCAAACATTCTTCATCTTCTCAGTTCAACATACAAACATAAGTAAAAACCAAATCAAAAGATTTAACTATGGAGTCCCATAACGTGAACAACAGCTCGAACCTAGACATGGAGAAAGATCAAGACAAGGCTTTTGATTACTCCAAACGAGCTCAATGGCTACGTGCCGCCGTGCTTGGTGCTAACGACGGTCTTGTCACGACGGCTTCGCTTATGATGGGTGTCGGTGCGATTAAACCAGACGTCAAAACCATGATATTAACCGGTTTCGCCGGTTTAGTTGCCGGAGCTTGTAGCATGGCGATCGGAGAGTTTGTCTCCGTTTACTCTCAGTACGACATAGAGGTGGCTCAAATGAAGAGAGATAACGGAGGAGAGATTGACAACGAGAAGCTTCCGAGCCCTATAAAAGCGGCTAGTGCGTCTTCGTTAGCGTTTTCTATAGGAGCGGTTGTACCTTTATTGGCGGGTGCGTTTGTGAAAACGTATAAAGTGAGGATTGGAGTGATTGTGGCGGCGGTGACGTTGGCTTTGGTTATGTTTGGGTGGTTAGGAGCGGTGTTGGGGAAAGCTCCGGTGGTTAAGTCGTCGGCTAGGGTTCTGATTGGAGGATGGTTAGCTATGGCGGTTACGTATGGTCTGACCAGACTGGTTGGTTCACATGGTTTGTCATAGGTTGTGTGTGTTTTACATACGTGACTGACCACTTCTTCATGTTTCATGCAACACAATTTAAGCGGTTACGTTTTTTTTTTTTTTGCTTTTTCATTTAAGAACTTTGGAATATGTATATTTCATGTGAGAAAAAACTTTGGAATTGGATTTGTGACTTGGTTGTTAGGTTTATGTAAGAAAATATGTTATATAAATATGTTCCGTGGTGTTTAGTAATAAATGGCACGTTGAGTCTACTAACACTTGCAGCTCTAATCATCAACACACGTCAAAATTTTCGTAAACTTTTCTTCCATTTGCTATCCGATTTGATATAATTCCAACATTTTGGATAACCTTAAGTATAAGGAACAAAGCAAAAAAAAAGATGCAAGCAGAAATCAAAATCACACACATATTAAAAGTTGAAATCTATTAGACTTGACTATAAAAATTTATATTTTTTATATTCACATTTTTATATTTAAGTCTAATATATTTGAAATAGAATATAATTATACAACCATAAAAATATTGTATTTTACGAACAATAAAAATAAAAATGTTTAACGAAATTTACCAAAACTGACTAATTGATCCGCCAAACTACACCTGATTATTGGTAGTTAAAACCCTTTAGAAATTAAACATAATTATCAACTTAAGCCTTGTTATATTTCCTTCTTGCTTAATGAAATAATGTGGGTTATGGATATATTTTCGATTTTGAACTCTTAATACTAGCTAGGAATACAAATGAATTCCGTTCCAAGGAGCAAAATATCAAAACCACAGATCCATAACATAAGAGTTTGATCGATCGTCTTTGACCACAAAAAAAGCTCGTCATGAGAAATCTATGATTTCCATAATTTTTCTAAAAGCATACTTTTGGAATTGTTGTCGTCGTGTTATACAATGAGTCTCCATATGTATTATTGCGATATGTAAAGCTAAATATCATGCACTGCTTTTGGCAAGAGATTGCGTGTAAACCCACACATCCTCGTAAAAAGGGAAATAGAACACGTGGCATTATTATCTGTAAATCAATAGAATCAAAGATATATATATCCACATATAAAACAATCAGAACCAACAGATTACCATAAGAACAGCAAGATACAGAACACAAGTTATGTTCTGTTCACACTGTCTTTTATGATTCTTTTTAAAATAGGTAAACACATCTAAATTTTACGTTTCATTGTTCACAAAAGTAACATAACACATTAAATGTAACAAAGATTCATCGAACCATGACAAGAAAACATTCAGCCACAATAGTAACACAAACCAATAGCAACTTATGTTCTGTTCTGACTTTCTTCAAGCGAACAAACTCTCAAACTTTCCTTAGAGTTTGCATAAGTTCCGGCATCTCCTTCTGATGTTTCACCACAAACTTATCCACAAACTCAGAGCTTTTCATCTTCAGCATAGTGAAATAGTTCACATCTTCTTTCTCCACAAGTCCTTCAGATACAAGCAAAGAAATCACCCGACTCCTCGGTTTGATCCTCTTCTCCATACTCAGCCCCAACACGACCGGTCTCGCAACAATATCTTTCGCCTCCAAACCAATGTCATTCACAAGAAACTCCATCGTGTACACTATCTTCTCATCAGAAACCGTCGTGCAGTTCGGGAACCTCATAACCGCCGCAACAAAATCTTCTTTAGACCAACCAAAACGTTGAAAGAGCTTCAACTTCCGCTCCATGGTTGACTCACTCGTCCAATCAAAAGCCAACATAGCGTGAACAAAGCCAGCCTTCTTCGGATCAAAACCATAGCTACAAACCCTATTCAAGACCTCGTTGAATTTCTTCTCGGGGGAGAAGAAAGTGTAGGGAGAAGCCTGAACCAGCCACTTGATGCTCTTGTCCGGAACTCCAAGCTCCTTACAAACGTGTAGCCTCTGAGATAAAGTCTGTGCTATGTCTAGAGAGAAACATCTGTAGCCACGCTTCAGACACTTGACAACGCTTTCTTCGTCTACAAGTATGCTCTTGAGGGAATCATAGCAAGGGATGAGTCTTTTGTGCAAGCTGAAGGAGAGTGTTTTAGGACAAGAGGAGATCATTTTGGCCGTGTCGGAGTTTGAGAAGCCGATGGAGTTGAAAAACATGAGTTTTGGTAAGAGAATGTCTTCGGGACTAAGTGAGAGAACACGAGGGAATGATTTGATGACACTTGTGATTTGGTCAGTGGAGAATCCATGTTCTTTGAAGAGAGCGAGAACAGTGTCTGGTTTCTTGGAAGAAACTAAATTGACGAATCTGGAGTTTGATTTAGCAGATTCAAGAGATAGTCCACAGGAGTTGACGAGGTACGATACTGTGAAAGATTTCAGAGATGGGTTTTGATTCCCTACATCATCTAGTTTCACTTCTGATAATGAACATAATGTTCTTCTACTAATCAGAAACCCTAGATTGACGCTGCTATTAAGAACAGGGGGAGAATAAAACGCAGCGTCTCTGACGTTTTGGCGGAGAGAAGAAAATAGACAAACCCGTCTGCATTGCAAGAAGCTCGACATGACTATGAGAAAACTCACTGAGCATAAGCCGCCTCTTCTCGGAGTCTGAAAAAAGTCGAAC